TGAACGAGCCAGTAAGAAGCGTTTGAGCGATATCAAGTTCACAGCGTCTTTGTCGATACCTGATCCTCATGTACGATCGGTATGCAGCGGATTTTAAAGAACACCTTATAATTGAGTGGCTACAACAAATGGGATTACTAAGAAGTCCCTTTATTCAATAGAAGACGAAACGTTAAAGAAGACTGAGTAATTTGCATTTCCGTAAATATACTTAACAGGTCCTCGGTATATACGATAAACCATCTCAAAAGGACACGTCCAGTGCGTTAGAAACCGAAAAGCTACAACTATAATACCAATTATACGAGAGTATGTGCAGCCGGAAATACAATATACACGTATAGCTGGAGGGCATATTGATACATACACAGACTTACACCGACGAAATTCGTTGATCTTCGAACTGTATCGCAAAATGATGAATACCATTCGATGATGAAGAAAACGTTTGGCATAATGTTTAGAATAGAATAAAATTGTTTCCCAGTTGATTCTAAAATAAGCTGTGATCATTAATCCAACTGAATTTCGAATTAAACACTGAACATAATCTGGCTTATCAAGATGCATAATAAATGAAACTTCCTGACTTTTTGTAGCGTTACAGCCAGTTGAACGAAGAAAATATACGGATTTGTAAATCACAATTAAAAATGAAAAATAATACCAATATGTACAAGTTCCCAAAAATGTTTATCGATGAAGACATATTTCATTTCAAATAAAATTATTATTTTATGGAAATGAACTATCGTGCAACTGTTTATTTTAATTTAAATGTATTTAATATCACCAGCTAGTGTCCTTTTTCTTTACGACCTAAAAGTCTAGCAAAGTATTGTCACTTGATATTTCATCGGATTAGATCAACACTAATAAGGGTGAGATCAGAAATGCAGGTTAGAAAAAAAGTATGGTTGGAAACAGAGAACGTCAATCAAGACTAGCATTGATAAATGTGAGCATCTGTTAGGCGCATGTTAATAAAGGTTAGCGTCAAAAGGAGAAAATAATATTCTGAAGACTGTAAAAAATTTTTTACTGCCTCTCTATATCATAGACTCTACAATATATCAAGAATGTAATATTTTAAAATTCGAACAAAGTCTACTTTCAGCAAATGCGGTAAAACTTTAAATTTTGTAACGATTTATTACATAATAATCGAAAATTATCATACGCATCTATTTCTGATATGTCTTGTCAATTTTTTCCGAAATTCACGTCGCAACTGATAAGTCTTGTGGATTGAACGCTACTTGTTATATCTGGACGTCCCTGATTTGTTGTATCCGAAACCCTTATCACTTATACTCGAGACGAGGGACCTCTGCATTTCCCACAACGCGAAAGTAAGGACACAAAGACTGGTATAAGTGAAAATTTATTAACCTCCAAAACACGACGACTCTAGTCGAAAATACACTCATTTATATATTGATTGTACACACACTTTAATTGATAATTAGGATGAAATCACGTATATGAAAAATACTTAGAGTTATAACAAATCACATACTGAGTATCGTTCATGTCAACTTTTAGAGCAAGAATATAGTGTGTTATACAGAATAAAATATCAAACGGTAAAACAAAACCAATACTACACTGAATAATCATCACACTACGTGAAAACAGAACAAAATTTATAGTGAGTAAATCAATCGGATTTTGACTTTTCTTACCGTCATATCAATTTCCAACAGTCAGTAGACAAAATTTTCGAAGAAATGACACGTAATCTGTAAGAAATATATCTTCGAGGGTGTGAAATTGTGTTTCGGTATACTCTTGCAACACTTACCTTTAGACCAATTAGAACGTAGTTCCAATTTTCTGATGAACAGTCAACTTTCATATGAACTAGAACTTTCAACTTCAATAGATTTGTAAAATGTTAATTTTACAAATCTTGTTACTTCAGGCATGTCGTTTCACACGTCAATATTGCACAGCAAGTTCACATATTGTTCAGATCTTCCCAGTTTTCTGTGTATCCAGTTTATTATGAAAATTTAAGTGAAAAGCGATCACAGTACCTTAATTAAGTCATAGACGATTTTACAAATATTGTGTGCCATTAAATAACTGATATGTAAATACTTAAACTGTTATTACTACGTTTATCAGAGGAACATTTTAGTACACACTATTATTGTACACTTCCTGACACCATTAAATCTATTAGTTTTCTTATATACTTAATTTAGTTGAACAAATAAACATTGGTACCAGGGAGCAACAAACACATATGTGACACACAAATATCGAGGTTGTGAATAGGTGGAGAATATAAAGTGCATGCAATAAACGGAAGAACAAGAATGAACAGAAATTAGTGTACGAGAGTGAAATAATAATATTGAGAGAAACAGTTTAGTGAGGAAAAATACAATCAAAAAGAATTCTTTCAGTTAAAAAAGTTGCGTTCACTTTCATGAGGAAAGTATGAAAAAGTTACCATGAGGTCGCTACTGACTCCTATTTTGCGCCATATTTGATAACATTTCTGGCCGCTACGTTGTACCATCTCCAGAACCCCAACCGGGGAGTCGTGAAGGTCTAAAAGAACCTAGTCCTGTGAAGCTTCATCTCCTACCATAACACTATGTCATACACTGATCATCTCTCCACATTTTCCAACCGGCCTAAAATTCGGCAAATTACGCACGGCATTGAATTCTCTGGGACGACATTCGTAGTAGTTCGAGAGACCTCAGTAGGTACTTTAAGATGGTGACACCTATTTAATTATCATTTCTGTGTCCAAACAGACTTTACCAGACCTATGTATTACTAACTTGGCGATGTCCCTGAATGTCAGCGATCTGTCAGTGACAACGATGATCAAACATAGATAGTCATCAAGCATCCTCAACCCGGAGAGGTCAGGTTTAATAAGAAAAACTTCTCTCAAGGCTCATTATAGGTTCAACCTTCTACGGATAGACTGACGTCACGGAGGCGAGAGAGATGGCACATATTTTCATGAACTACTCTAGGTTTCACTATACGTTAATTGATCTCATCACACAAGACGCCACGAGCACTTACTCAGCCACTCAGATACACGAATATCTCGACTGCTTTAACCTGCTCACTATCCAGAGAGAGGGCATGTTCAGGGTCCTGTCAGAATTGTGGGAGAGTCTTGCACTTTGACGGTACATAGGACACCACCACTGTCTACATCCATCAGATTTGTTACTAGAATGTAATCGATGAAAAATATGAATAGGGATGGTAAGACTGTGTAAATCAGTCTAAACCCACTGCTTGAGTTTAATAGTGGAGAGAAGCGGTTGTATGTCCTCATTCTGCTTGATGTGTTTGTATATAGGGCTTTTTCAGGCACACCCTCTGTAGTGGCTGGTGCTCTGACAGGCGTGAATAAGTAATTCTAGCTTCTTTACAGACTGATTTATTTATTCACCTCAAGTGGCACGTTGGCTTTGTCGGTTATTCGCTTATTAACACTCTAGCGGTAAATAAATCCACAAAATAAATAGCTCTGTAAGTTTTCAACATTGGATGCTGACTACATTAGTCTCAATGGACTCACCTAGCTGAAGGCGCTCGGGCAAACATCCACACCAGATCACGAGTGAGAACGCCGTGCTCAACATTCCTTACAATCGCTAACCAGATTAGATCAGACGATCCACGATATATTGATAGCTTATCAAATATATCTTCGAACCTTTTCGCTTCTGTCTTTTGATTTCACTTGGTGGGTAAGCTTCATATATAATTCGTTACTAGTTAGAGAGCTGTCAAATTCCGAATACCTGAGACATCTTCAATACTGAAATTGGCGGCTTGTATATTTCGATAGTGTCAGCATACGAACTACCTGAAGTCAGATATAAAGCCGCGAAACCTTCAATAGAAAGTCTCTGGAAACATGCTTGTTGAACGAGTCGCAGGAGTTCGTAAAATTGAAGAACACTACGATTGTTTGTCTGTAATAAGTATGGCGAAGTTCTAACATTTGGTGGAAGGTCAAGACAAGATCAATACATCCCCAACCAGAAAGAAAACAAGTTTGCACCTCGCAATCTGAGAGATTTGAATTTGTAGCTAGTACCGCAATGTCTGTCGAATACACTTTTTGCAGAAGAATTGTTAACTGGTGGTAAAACTCATCATTCATCGCGTCCGGTCTGCAATCTATAGGAACTTTGAGAAGACATTGAATGACATTGTTTTTCATAAGGATATCTTCGTACTTTGATATAACTTTATAATCTATTATTACATTGCCGACTGTTAATGGGTATCCAGCAGATGAATGGTGACTTAGCTCTAGTGTTCAGTGCTACATAGCATCGACTAAAACCAGACGAATATGCCACAGTGTTCACTGACGAACTCTTCACACTCTGGTTGTAATAATGCTCCAATTGCTTTGTCTACTCGTGCATTCACAACTGCATCAGGCTCCTCTTGTTTATCAATCATAATCTCTAGATATGTAAATGTCTCCACCTTTTCCAGAGCTTCTCCACTAAGCGTGATTAGGTTAGTTCTCTCTGTGTTGTATTTAAAGATCTTGATTCTCCCGTTATATAAGTTGAGGCCTGTCGGTGTAGTCAGCTGCTACACTAACTGTCTCCACCTGTATTTGTCGTTCTGCACGGGGTAGAACAACTAGGTCCTAATAATCTACAAATCGTTTCCCTTCATCAATTAAAATCAAAGATAAAAATGAAATCAGTGTTGCACGAACTAGATTAAGTTGTCAAAGGCAATTTAATATACAAACGCATTTATAAATAAGTCTTTAGTTACATTTTTAATATGTTTATAGATGACCGGATCAAGGCATATACCACAGACTTCACCCTGAAAACAGAACAACATTGGTGGTCTAATGTAGTATATCAAACAAAGTTTGGTTAGCGATCCTTAAATATATTGATAATACCTAGTATTCTTTTTGTATAAATGACTCTTAGTTTTTTTATCAATTTGTTAAAATCAACCTATATCCCTTTCTCCTTAAAAGTGAGGAATATTCGAAACTTGCGGAACGAGTATGTTCTTTTACATTTGTAGACAAATATTAATTACTTCAGTTCCTCACTTGACTAATGTTTCTGTGTTCATTTACTGGTTTCAATTTTATTGTCGTATAACTTAGCATTACTACATAATTTCATACTCAGGCTCTGACATGATCATAAATGCTTCGACAGTTAATATGTCTTTGTGGCATTGTGACGCTGTCTTTTCCTCAGTTTTCTATGTTATTCCTACATCCGTTTTATTTTGCGTCAATCGGTTTTCAACAAACTAGCTGTTCGTCACTTCAAAGCAAATTTACCCAGCCTTCATATTTCGGGGAAGCCATCATAGAAAATTTTGAGAAAATGGCACAAATTCCCAAAAATTTCTCGTTCTTCCCCAGTATTCCTCCAGAATCTTCGGTCAAATCCCATTTCTTTATCGCATTGTAAAGACGTGCGGTATTTCCGGTTATCTCAAATACCGCATTCGGAAATCTGCCAAATTACCGATTATAAAGAAAAGCCTGGCGATTTAATAATAGTTACCTTAAAGTTTCCACACATCTATTCCATTTATTTAAATAGTTAACGCAGTCCCAAATCTATTACACCACAGGTGGTAACAATTCTTATCACTCGCTCTTGTATTTGTGAATATGTACATCAGGTTGATGCTGAACTTCCATTCAGTGTTCTACAAAACTAAGAAAAGTTTCTATTCAGCATTATAAACAACCTCAAAACAGCCGAATCGCTTATAGTAAACAAACAAATGCCATAGCAGTCGTCCAACGTATGAATCTATAATGCCATGTGAAAGGTTGATTATGTACTAATGGTATAGCAATAATGTTTTCTGAAAAAGAAACTTAAGTCTGATAACACCTACAAAGCCAGCTAAAAATAAAATGGACAAGAAATAATTTCAGTAAAAATGTTTACCAGAAACTAACATAAAAACAGGAACCGGTATTTAATCACAGGTCTAATGTGCATTTAGCCCACCTCTTCTTTGGATCTCCATCGACGCTTACTTTATCTCTTGCGTTGTGTAAGAAAACGTGGGTCGCAACATCCATGGCTTGTGTTATTTGGTTCTTTGGATAGGTTGCACTTCGAGAAAGTGAATACAGAACATCTATAAATATATTAAGACTGATGTGAACTTTGAATTGTCCTGTAGAGTATGTAATTGCCGATACCTGTTTTACTTTTAGCCCCAAGTAAGATATAAGTAATTGCTATTCCCGTCGTCAGCACGTAAGCTATACGTGCTCTGGTTGATTTCCTATGATCATCACATATGATCTCGGATAATCTGGCCACTTGCAATTTTATGAACACCTGTCACAACTTATGAACTGGTCACGAAACTTGTGCTCCTCTAAAGCAACTCCGAGTACGCATTCCCTCACATGTTTTCAGTGAGAATGAGAAACTTGAAGTATCTGTTGTCGTTGTGCCTGTCCATCACACCCATGGATGAGCTGATGTACGCAGTCAGTTTGTCAATCTTGCTAGACATCTCACCAAGTGTGAGGGCAACATTGACAAATCAAGGAATATCGTGAGAGTTTACTTTGTTCCCCTTAATTATAATTCAAATCACTCCGCATATACTGTACTCATTTACAAAGCCCACATAGACCTATTTTTGATGAACTGTTATCATTTATCCTTTTCACGCAACCAACACTACAATTTAATACTGATTAATGGGATAAGTTTGTCGTATACATTTATACTAAGTATGGGAAATGTCAATAAAAATAGAAATAGTTATGTGAATTAGATGACGTCGACCATAATCCCAGCCTATATTAAGTTCCAAATATGGGCTCAATTAATGTTACTGAAACCACTAATACTTCGACTTCTCTGAATCCTATCACAGCTGAGGAAGTGTCGAGTACTCTAAGTTCTTTCGACGTCAGTGGTTAGCATCTTTTACTTCTTTCAATTCCAGAACGTTCCAATGGTGACTCGCATATGTGCCCAACCATTGCAGAAGACAATATAGTCGGGCGTATTGGTCAATTCACTTGAAATACAGAGCGATAGGTGTGTTGAATAGAAATATGAGCAGGCAGGTTAAGTGGTACAGTGATCTGGAGTTGTGTTAAAGGTATAAATGCGGTTGTCACTTCCCGGTTGCCCACATCGTGGAAGGATTCTTCTAGAGGTACCTGAAAAGGAAATCGGATTGGAGGTAGTCTTAGTGACCTGAGAGCGTGACCGCAGTGTCCAAGGGACAAATGCTCGAGACCGGTTACACACGATCTTTTTGTGTGCATTTTTCGTGTTAGCTCCGTACTTGTTGAGACCTTACCGCCGGAGATGGATATCCGTTGGATAAGGCGAGGTGTGCATTTTTAGGGTCGATCTTTCCTAATACCATCCTTCCTTGTGGTAACGTAGCATTGCTGTTATACTGGTTGTCTGAGGGAAACATCTTACTGCCGTCACCTCTCTGTACAGTCAGCAGTACGACTTCGCTCTCGGAATTTGGGTTTGCTGCTTTCAATTTCACCGCTCCTCAACCGACCCGTCTGGTATTTATTTATTTAAATACATGACCATTGGTATGAGGAGGCACCAAACGGATATGCACCACATAAATCATTCGATTTGACCTAAAGGTCCAATCCACAAGGCAGTGAAGCAACGTCAGGAGATACAGTCCCATGATAGCCGGTGACGAACAATTGGTTCATACATCATTGGTTTCCTTAGGACCCTGAAGCCCATGTGCACCAGTGGTTTGGAATCCGGTTAAAGCGCCGGACATTTGCTTTTCGTCCTCTCATTTTCGTAAACAACACCCCCGCCACGAGAAGGCAGTGAGTAGGACTTCCCTGGCAGAGGCTATATACGCGTGGCCGTGTGAGAGTATTTCGAGAGGGAGAGCGGACTCTCCCCACTCTCGGCCGTACCAGGGCATTTGGGGGCATCCTAATTGAATAGTTCTATTAGTGTTCCAAACTAGAGCGCTATTTATCAAAAATGTGCTCCGGTCACCATCCATTAAAATAAAACGAACCATCTGTTTAGAATTCTGTTATTTGACCATTTAAAGAACTTGTGAAATTAAACTCAGGTGTCATGTGTTTTCTGTTGACATTTATAAAGCGTTTCCCAAGTTCATTAAAATGTAGTCCAGATTATTATCTAAATAAATGCTAACGAATTGTGCTTTGTATGAAGGTGGCCTCTTCATATTTAGCATGAAGCATTCAAGCTGTTGTGTGATCCGATCACTTTTTATATTAATATGAATCATGATGAATTTAAGTTTAAGATTATACAGTCCTCGACAATAAAAAATTCGAAGTGCTTTTCGTCAGGACTATTTTTCTGCGAAATTGTTAATTGATTAAATTTTAAATGCCGTTAAATGTCAGTAACCAAAAACAGCTTGCATATGATATTTTACTTTTTTAGAAAAGCTCAGCTGTTTTATCAAAGTAGTCGTTGCCTTGGTTGACAATGACGTTTCACACAGGGCGTCTGTTGGTCGGTCGTGAAAAGGAGCAACAGTTTTTGTTTTCGTTAATGTGTAAAGTACGTATGAGCTTTGATTGGATATCTAGGATAATTACAGAAAAACCCTTTATCCACATGCTTTGTTATCACAGGCCCTCCGGGTTGTGGCAAATCAGTTTTAGTGTCCTCAACATTCGAACTTCTGGAAGAGTCTTGTGGAATGTTATGGGTGTTAATTAGCTGTCTAGAAAGCTTTGTGGGGACCCAAGGGACATGTGGAGCTACTTCATCAAGATATTTTCTTGAATTGATTTTACAGTCGATTAAGTGTCGTTATCTGCCCGAAGCTGATTTATGTATTAGTTGTGAAGATACCTCCAATTTCATAGATAACTTATGTCAAATTTTGCTAGCTATCGGAGCTAGAAATACTCATGAACAAAGTAAGTTTAGATAAACGGCTGTTTTCTATATTTTCAGCTTGTGTGGGGTTAATTTTCGAACAGGCTGAGAGACTGTGCGATGGGGAATCACTAGTCTTCCCCTTAATAATCGGTCTTGGAGCTTCTGTAAATGAAAAGTTAAATCAATTAGGCAGTCTTCACACACCACTGTTGTTCACTGTCCTGGTAACTAGGTTGCCATGGGAGAAGTTTAATTTCGGGACATTCAGTTTTGAACCTTATGTTATCTCTGTTGAAAGTTATTCTCGTGACCAGTTGGCAAGATTACTTACATCTTTGTTACCGTCTAATGCATCTGAATCTCGTTTCAACAGGTTTGTTGACTTACTGTTAACAGTTTGTTTCCCTGTTTGTCGTAACGCTGGTGAACTCATTCATTTAATGAATGTAAGTACCTTTAATTTTAACCTTTACAACAATAGATAAACTGGAATGCTTTTAATGAACCTGTAAATAAAGGGTTGGTTGCGGCGGACGATGAATGGGGTCAATGGAAGTTGGCTCAACCATATCTCAAAAAGTCTTTGTCTACTCTGTATTTGCGTCATTATGAGGATTCAAATTTAGATTCTCTGTCTACGAAAAACGCTGGGAGACAAAATTTTTTGGAATTACCTTATTTGACTAGATTTTTACTTATTGCTGCATTTATGGCTTCACATAATCCCCGTTCATCGGACAAAAAGCTCCTGACAAAGGTGACTACAGATTTTACTTTTCGTTGTAGAAAATTTAATTCAAAATGTTTGACCTGTCCTGAATTTCTCCATGTTAAATCTTTTACCTCTAAACACTCGCCTTTATTAGTACTTCAAAGATTTCTTAAGCACTTTCATTTACAAATCCTATTTCCTGACCCACATATATACAGATTTATTCGCTTCCTTTTTTACTATTCTATTTAGAACTCCGGACGTTTAAGTACCCGTAAAAAGAAACAGGAAAAGGTAGTATACAAGGTGAGTTATTATTCTTCACTAATTCATTACTAACGCCGCCAACATTATGGTTGGTTTGAATAAGTGTGATAGTATTTTGAAAAGTAGTTCTCACGATCACTAATGTGTATGTCATACAGATGGACAGTTTATCAGTCAGTTCACCGTTTACTTATGAGTACATCAAGCACCATCGTTTCTCCGTAGACAGATGTAGAGGTCATAAAAGATATCAACCTTAACAAATGCACTCTGACTTCATGGATTGATGATGTCAACCGATGTGGTTATCGATAATATTTAAACGATTATCCAATCAATTTTTTTACAATCACAAATGAATATTGATATTTTAATCTCTATGTTAACCTAGTCATAAAGATTTACATTCACTAAACGATACTCCAAGTTACTTTGATCTGTGCTGCGAAATGCATTGGAGCTCTCAATGTACAAACCTTATCAAACTAGGTAAAACTTTTGGTTGCATAAGTGCTATGAACTCGCATAAGTTACAATACAGTCGTACATGATGGACAGCTTACAATTCCATTCCACGTGGAAACTGATGTTAGAGAGAGCTGCTTACTATCACCACTTGCTTTTGCTGTTCGACAAGAATATGAAAGCCTCCACATCTGGGGGAAATCACGGAATAAAATGGACGGCTTGTGTGCAGCTAGACGACTCCACAGATGACCTAGCCGTTCTATCCCATGCACAACGACAAATACAGGTGGAGACAGTTAGTGTAGCAGCTGACTATACCGACAGGCCTCAACTTATATAACGGGAGAATCAAGATCTTTAAATACAACACAGAGAGAACTAACCTAATCACGCTTAGTGGAGAAGCTCTGGAAAAGGTGGAGACATTTACATATCTAGAGATTATGATTGATAAACAAGAGGAGCCTGATGCAGTTGTGAATGCATGAATAGACAAAGCAATGGGAACATTCCTACAATTAAAGAGTATATGGAACTCAAAACAACCGTGCGCCAACACGAAAGTCAGAACCTTCTATACAGCCATCAAAACAGCACCATTGTACGGAGAACTACAAACATCATCTAAAAGGTATAGGTAGTTATGAACAGTAATCTGCACAAGATACTCCAGATCCGTTGACCAGACATCAGCAATAACCTACAGTGTTAAAGAGCAGACCGACCTCCGGTCGATGAGGAAATCAAGAAAAGTCACTGGAGGTGTATAGGATGCACATTGCGAAAATCATTAAACTGGATCATGAGACAAGCCGTAACTTGAAATCCTCATTGCAAAAAGAATAGACGATGACCAAAGAACCCATTGTGGCGGTGATTGGAGGGGGGCATCAGAAGAGTAAATAGTACTTGGAAACAACTGGAAAGAAGTGTATAGGACAGTAAGTTGGAGATGTATGGTCGGTGGGCTGCGCTTCACTAGGGGCTACAGGCATAAGTAAGTATTTACGTCATTATTTTCATCCAAAATCCCCCTCCACGAAATAAAAATTCACTCATCATCTACAAAACGACTCGTTAATTGTTAAACATTTTCATTCAACCAATGATAAGTGGATACACTAATATTATTATTACTGCATTTGACTTGATTTTTAACGTGTCACATTTATCCATAAAATGACCATCATTGTCATGTAGAAAGTTTAAAGATATGTTGCTTTGTATTTCTTAGACACAAGCAGAGTTTACTGGCCCTCGAATCTTCACCTTAGATCGCTTGTTGGCAATATTCTATGTCCTAGTACAAAATGAATTTGCAAAAGTACCATGCACAAGTATTTTAATGAGTCAAATTGCCTGTTTAACAGCATGTGGTCTTTTATCGCCAAGTTCACAGGCTTTGTCTGTTGGGAATTCATCTACTACTGGATTGAGTACAACAAATAGTTCGGTTAACGCTATATCTGATTTAGACCCTTTGGCTAACCCTAAATATCGTTGCTTGATAAGTTTAGAAATTGCTAAAAGTATAGCACAGTCGGTTGACTTTGATTTGTTATCTCATCTTACAGAGAATTATAACTCGTGAAAAATATACATTTACTGATTTATTTATTTTTGTATCGAGATTCTTTGTATTTTTGTGTTTGTATATATTATTCTCAGATTTTATAGATAATTTGACGTATGTTCTATAAATTATTTAACTTTATGATAACATTTGTTCCTAATTTGCTTGATCTGATGTAAGCAATTCGGTTTCTACAGATGGGACTAGTAGTAGTATCCCAAGGAATTATTTTTTTTTGTCATCCGGCTTATGATTGAAAATTTTTTTATCCAGTCTATATTACTGGTGGTGATATATTTAACATGAACTTTTCCAATGTAAATTTACTGACCCCGGAGTCAGTCAAAGTGATAACTAAATCCTACTAGAAAAATTTAAGGTAAACAGTGAATGAAATGACTTTTCGTTATACACAATAGCTCTCAATGACACTAGTCCTTAAAGCCACATATATACCTAAAGGCAAATACTTTACTTTTTCGGATAGGCATATATAATAGTACCAAGTCTATAAATAAATATATTTTTCTAATGCTATTCTAATCGCGCGAAATACAATAACATTATTTCAAGGTCTTCCTGTGGAGTAGATAAAATTCTTTGTTCAGTTTCACTGGGAATCTCACAAGCAACTCCAGCTGATTATGCATTCGAACAGAGTCTATGAATATTTGTCTTGCGAATTGCTACAGCTCTGATAAGGTGAAACTTTCAGCAGTGGCGATTGACTGAGGGATTACATGAACTACTGAAAAACAATCCAACATTCCAACCACTTAATATAGAGGTACAAGAAAACTTGTTTTCAATGTACCTCCTTTCAGTTATGAATTCTGTGAGGAATATTTTGTTGCTAACCTGCCCAAAACAACTTGATAGATTACCTCAAGGTTTCATCTTAATGCCCGTTTGATCAAGCCGTCAATATAATCAAATTCAGTGGTTATATTTCCATTATGGATAGTAATTATTACGCAGAACTTGGTTCGGGATAAAAGCTTATCGAAAAGTAGAATTGTAAATACGAAAACAGTATGGTTGACAGAATTTATCTCTAAGGTTCTACCGGTGTTTCTTCATGAGTAGTCTAATAATAGAAACATCAAGAAGATCTGTTTCGTCTTTAGTATTTTTTATAACGCAACAGACACTAAAAGTGGGAATTGACTTTTCAAGTTGTTACTATCATTATTTTGTCTCCAGTCTATTGTTTAGTCTCCCTTATTTACAGTACTTTCTGGCTTGCTTGTGTATAATTGCTATTTTTGTATAGTGTGATGCGGTCCGGTATGCCTGGATATAAGTCGTCTTTTTGTAATATAAATATAGTAGAGGCTGATTGATTTTTATGAACTCAAGACAGGACATGAGGAACTTGCGAGAAGCAGATCAGTCGGAGCTTAGCTTTTGACTCTAGGTCAGTCGTGGTGATCCGGGATGTAACTGGCAAATCAAATACATTAAGGCATAGAGTAAATAATAGACGCGAAGTAGACTAAAATAGAATCTGAATTCTGATTGGTAACTTGGCACGTAGTATTTGTCAATGGCCACATGACAACAGTAATCGTTTCTGACCCGTTGACCTCAAAACTAGTTTACATCTAGTACATCATTCCTAAAAAAATCCTGTCATGGTTTTGTTGGGTCGATCTAGCTATAGTAGGAACCAAATCTTGAATAATTATGCTTTTCCTAGCACTGGCATGAAATTGTTAATTGAAGCAACGTCAGTGAGCTAATAATCTTTTGATCATTCGAATCAGTGAGGCGAGCAACTTCCAGTTATAACCTGTGTTAATGTTTCGATATTTTAGTGGAAATTAGGATGCCTATTACCGATTAAATTAAGTGATATTAATAGTATTTGTTGGTTGAAGTCGTTCGAACTAGAAGACGCAATTCGTCACGATGACGACTAAGGCGTTCCCAACGCGTGTGTTTTTATTGTAATAGTTTGTCCCACTAGACGAGAGCTTCACGGAGCATTGACCTATTGGCTAAGACGCTCGACTTTCGTTTGCCAAGTCCCAGGTCTAATCATCTCTGAATAGTATCATTATCCCTGGCACTTACAATGTGGTTCGTACATAAATACTTCATGAATAAATTAGTTAAAAGTTTTCTTAACGTTAACTTGGGGCTCACAATAATTACTTCGAACTGAATAAACTCTTACCGTTAAGTATTTAGGTGATATTGATAGCAATATAAAGTCCTAGGTTTCATACCTATTTCCCTAGCGTACGTGTATCCATGACTTAATTTACTACTAAAATCAATTTTGTTGAAATTCAGATGCAGTGTGATCACCCATTTGAGAATAAAAGAGCTGTTTTATGTGCATGATTCGATATTTCAGTTTATTCTCAAATTTCACATGTATCTCATTGAATTTGAATGTAACATCAAATGAAACTGTAAATTTTTGTCCTGACTTTTTTAAAGATGTTCTTTGTCATTTTTTCATGTACTTGGTTGGAGCATTGCATCTACTTCTTCAGCAGTTGATGAGAGAACAAACTCATACTGCTCCTAAAATAAAACAAGTACGAAGTACTGTGATCAAATAAAAGCTCCTAGTCATACTTAAGTAGTAAAATAATCGTTCTCCATACGATCAAGTTAGCACATTTATGTGATTGTCCCACACAACATTCAGGTAATATAATTCAAACTAAATCATAGAATATTTCATTCCTAATAATATAGGGACGATTTAGTTTAAATCAAGTCGCGATCTGTTTTCTAATTTGCAGTGTCATATGAATGCATGAAACGGCTTTCTTCACCCTGTATATTGAATCTGGCAGCTGTTCGGGCAGTTAAATTTGGTAATATCAATCATTCGTGGAAATCAAAGAATTTCTATATCAAAAAATAATCTGTTCCAGAGTTTGTCATCAACTAGTAAGCAAGTAAGATTTCCACTGTACATAAGAAGGTAATAAAATGTCTACATTAATATGGAAATCATACTACTAAAAGATGCAAGTAGTTGGATGCAAAGCATACTGGTCCTAAGGTTTCGATGAAAAATCAGATCACAGACTTAACATGCTTGATTGTTCCATGTCGTAAGGACAAGTTATCTTGCCTTCACATAAGTATAATTCTCGACATCGGCTGTACATCACAAAATATAGTAACAATTTTAGATGGATAACCAAACGGTTGCACTAGTTCATTCAAGAGAATTATCATGATCTGAGAAGGTATACTCGGTCTCGATATGATTAACTGTTTCAGGTACGTTCCTTCTGGGATACTTGCTTACAAACAATAGAAACGACCGTATAGTTTCCTGTTCATTGACTAACGATAGAACTAGCTCGTCACCTAAAATTGCACGTCTGTTAAAATAAAAAACGATAACTTCAACAGAAACGAGCTTTTTGTATTCAAATTGGTCAATAAAAACTACAGTTCCATGCACGCACCATTGAACTAAATCTATATCACCTAAATGATAATATCTCATTATTTTTTCATATTTTTAAAATCTAAAACCTAAGAATTGGAATGAACAAGAACTGAATTGGACAATATTTAGTCCCTTTTCTTTTACAAAAAATAAGAAACTTACCAATGTTTTAATCATATTTGGCCTTTGATCTCTTAGATGTTCCAGTGAAGCAGCTATGTCAATTTCTTTTACACCTTTAGTGATACGATTTAGGACCAAATCTAATAAAATATATGCACCTGTTCGTCCGCATCCATCACTAAGAATATAATTAATAGAAATTCCATCTGTAAGCCAGTAGGAATTGTAAATTTATTTTGTTTAAACATGAATGATGCGTAACTCTTATACGTAGTATCCTAGACAAACCGTCTGTGTCCTGTCATTCATCATAATGAACAATAAAAGCCAAAACAACCAAAGGTGGCTCAGTATTCAATTCGTTTGATTTCCAGGCATTAGTTTACTAAATCGATTCCTTTGCACCTCCTTTAGGCAGCTGGTTGGTATCGCTACTTTTCATACTTGAATTGTGGCTTGAAGCCAAGTATACTGAAAATTGAGTTGGATTGAGTGAAAGAAACTTTTCCGGTTGTTAGTCTCAAAGCTTTAAAAGCAACGTAGAGATAAGAAATTGTATGTTATTGATTGTGATTAGTTCAAATAGTCAATCCATTCATTCTTCACCTTTGACTACTGAACATTTGTACGTGATTATTTCTTTTTCCCTATTAATGTTGTTTTTCATGTTATTCCTATACCTTTTGTTTATTATGTTCCATCTTTTCTCCTGTGTTGCAAAAGGTAGTGGTTTTTAGTCAACATACTACAGTACTTCGTGCGATCGAATTCAGAAAACAGTTATTCACAATTAACCCTAGTAACGTAAGAAACTAAATTACGGTACGAACTCTGTTATGATGGAAAGTCTCCGAGGTCTAATCTAATACTCCGTGCTACACGCAGCCAACCACTGAATTGGAACATAAGATTGAAAAGAAGTCTATTGGGCTACCAAGTACTTGTATAAATACTCACTTATATTTAAAGCAATTAGTTCCGTTGATAAATTTCGATAATGTAGTAAAAAGACGAAGATTATCAGAACTATGTGATATATTAGCGCAATACATTCCGAACAATTTGAGCACACATATACTTGTTAAGTGAAGTAGTCGACAACTACACTTTTCTTGGAATTCTAATCAACCCTAATGGGTTGGTGTCTGACGAAATCTCAGCACGGATTCGGAAAGCTCGTTTGCCTTTTGCCAACTTGCGTCACCTATGACGAAGGCGAGATATTCGTCTATCAATTAAAGAACGAGTATACAGTGCGGCAGTTCGTTCTGTCCTACATTACGGCTGCGAAATGTGGGCATTAAGAGTAAAGATATTTGTAAGCTACTAGTATTTGACCACAGATGCCTTACGAATATTGCTCGCATCTGCTGGGATCACCGGATAAGTAATAGTTTTCAATCTTCACTGACTGAGATGGTTGGGCCATGTGTAGTGTATGACTGAACACCGATTACCACGACGCGCAATGCTGATTAGTGTTGGAGACGACTGGAAGAAAGTTAGGGGCAGCCATATCAAAACGTGCCATCAGTGCTTGAAGTCACTAACTTCTGGACTGAGCCATGTTGGTAGATACAGACTACTTGGTTGGGGTCCGCGTGCCCATCATAATCATTGGTTGGAGACTGTGTGACCTAGCTCAGAATCGATCACAATCGCGTCGGTGTATACACTCTCTCTGTCTTTCCTTAAACTAAGAGATTAAAATCGCTTCATATCTTTCTTTCTACTAACTAATTCTTTCTTTCTGTACGATATCCTTATATGGGGTCTTTCTTTTATATATTACCATCATTGAATTAACTACTTCTAAGAATCTGGTGTTCATCTTACTGTGCTAATGAGGTATGGCAACTTGGGTCGATGCATATATGTGCCTAGTTCAACGTTGTAGCTGAGTGAATGACTGACCGATAAATTCATCTTGAACATTTCAGTAAACATCTGAATAAAATCTATGATCATCAGCATGTAATATCATTTATTTCATTGTTCACTGCTATTTTTTATGTGGCAAGGAGAGACTGTCAGTTGAATTCTTCATATGTAAAAAGATTTGGTGAAATGTTTTTACTCACCGGCAGTGAACCACAATAGGGCTCATCATTCCACGAAATGAACGATTGACCTTCCTGGAGTTTTAAAGAAACAGATAAACAAATAGTTATTCTCTTAAAGGTCAGTTAGTAACAGTCTAAGTTTTTCACGTAAATACAAAAGTTTTACACTTGAAAATATATAAGTAAATAAAACTAGTGGCTTCTACTTGCGCTGATTAAAAGTATCATAGTCAATAATGATGTTACGTGGTAGTTTATATGGTGGAATTATTTTATTCACGAATTACTCAAGTCATCAAAAGTTTCTTGTTATTTTATAAATTTGAAAAATTGTCTTAACGTACTTTTCAAGGAAAACTGACTCACTTATTGATTTAGAACTGACTACCTATCTTTAGCGGGTTCATTAACGTTAAACGATTGAACTTCGTTATAATTATATAAATTACTCGGATTCAGCAAACCTATTATTCTATGTGTGGCGTCTTATTCTGATGATGGCTTAAAATTTTAGATACCTACATATAAATCTGGAGATAAGTAGCACCCACAAGAACCAAATGTCGAATATCTTCCTCACTGATCACTACCCTTGTTGGAGTACATTATATTTGGATAAAAGGTGTGTTCTGTTTTCATTCCTGCTATAGTTCTGCACATAATCCTTTATTTAATGGAAAAGCAATCATACCTCTACAAACTTTTTTCGAAGTAAATAATATCATTTAATATATTCAATCAAACTTACCGTCTGAATTCCAACATAGGCTTACTATTTTCTTTTAAATTCTCATCTTTCCATGTAAGATAATGGAATTGTGTAACAGTACGTGTTTCATTTGTTACAATGCTTTTAAGGTAAAATGAACGAATAATGTAATTATCGCTCCAACTGTGTTCCGAAACCAGGTGTACCTGTCAAAAGATAGAAATTCTCGTGATTCCTATTATGTAACGACTGTATCGTATCCCCAAGAGATCCGAAATTCCTCAGTTTTATGTTTCTTATGTTTAAGCATTACGTTTACTTTCATTTCACTAACTTAAAATTTGCAATAAAACTCAGGGGAAAGAATTTAAGACTAATTTTACTATAAATGTAAAACGTCAATGCTAGACCCCAAATGGAAGAGAAAAAAGATGTGCCAAATCTGCAAGCTAATGCAGTCAGATACGTTTTCTCCACATTGTTCGATAAATCCAGTCGACCACCAGAAGAAAGATGGAGGTGAAGAGTAAGCAGCCTTTTTCTGACTCGGGTTCTCACTTGGAATCAATCTGTCAGTCAGTCAGTCAGTAACAACGTAGAACTTAGTACGTACGTACATCAGTTCGAGTTGCTATACCACATTAGCACAGAGATGCAATGGTCGATTCAAATCCCGTAGTGGTAGAGGTAGCAAGAGTATAAGCAGTAATCGGGAGGATTAGGGTTTGAAGATGTTATTTAAAGAGTATAATCCAGTGAAATAAATTTGGAAAGAGGAAAAAAAGGGGCATGAAGAATTCAGATAATTAGAATTTGGGAGAACATAGAGAGTGGATGCACCTGCGCCATTGCAATCGATTTTGAGCCATGTCATTCAGGGTCTCTAACCATCGGTTGCTATCATCTCGCGGTCCCCAACCAGGTAGTCTACACCTACCAACATGACTCAGTCCACTTGTCAGTTGTCCTCCATTCACCATTTTGCATTGTAATCCATCCTATCAATTCCGGATGATGTTGGCGACCTTCTCGGGTTCACCGTGATGTCGAAGAAGTTTCCATAATGTTCTGCTATCCACATTGTTAAACGCCTTTCATAGTCAAGGAATTTGATGCATGGTGATGAGTTCCATTCAATCGATTGTTCAATGATGATCCGTATTGTCGCGATTTGGTTGATGCATGAACGATCCTTACGGAATCCAGCCCGTTGACCTCGAATTTGGGCATCTACTGAATCTTTCATCCGGTTCAACCACACTGTTGATAACTTTTCCTGATACTGACAGTAGTGTGATGCCTCCGTAGTTCTCACATTTGCTCTTTGACGAAGTGTCCTTCATTATAGTTCTTCGGCACTTGTTCTTCTTCCCAAATCTTCCTGAATAGAACGTGAAACATACTTGCAGTTACTTCTATGTCTGACTTCACCGCTAGCTTCATCTGGTATATTGTCAGGTTCTGTCGCTTCCCACTCTTGGTTTATCTAATGCCTATCCTGACTTCTTCGATTGTCTGTGGAGTGACATCTATAGGAAGGTTTGTAGGTGCTGCTTCGATTTCCGGCGGATTCAATGAAGCTGGTCTATTCAATAGTTCCTCTAAGTATTCTACCCATCTGTTCCTCTGTCCTTGACTTTCCTTCTTGTCCTTGATCAGTCAATCTGGTTTACCATATTTCCCTGTCACTGTCAAATAGCTGTCTCATATTTCCTTCTCTTAAGGCTTTTTCCGCTGTCCTTTTTAGCTCTTCCACCTATTTCTGTTTGTCCGCCCTACTGCTTCACTTCACTTGCTTGTTTGCTTCTGTACATTTAGCCTGTGACTTGACTTTCTCTGTTCTTGTTTGAATATTGTTTTATTCCGTCTTCTTGTTTTTCCTTACCTGAATCTTGTCCAGGATTTAGATGGAGATCCATTCTTTATAACGATGCTTCTTGCGGCCCAGCACCTACTGACACGTTGAAGATAATGTTTCTTTGACTGCTTTCCAGTTGTCTTCTGTCGTAATTTTTTCTTCTTTCAGTAGAACTTGTTAAGCTTGGAACCTGTTTTCGAGAGTGATCTTGAATTCCTTGAGTCTGTTAGTAGCTCGAAGGAGGACTGTATTGAACCATTGTAATGCTGTTTGTCCAGTTGTCCAATGTTTCTTTAGCTTCACTTTCATTTTGGCCACAACCAGGTGGTGACCTGAGGCTATGTTAGCTCTTCTACTGGTTCTCATGTCTTACATTGTCTTTCTGAATTTTTTGTTCATACAAATATGATCCATCTGGTTCTCCGTGGTGTGATCCGGTAAGACACATGTAGCTTTCTGTATGCGATTGTGTAGGAAAATTGTGCCGCGTATAACCAATTTTTGTTCTTTCAATTTCCAGGGAAGAGTTTAAATGGTTTAATTTGTTTAATCTGGTTGGCGTTTTTTTGCTAAGATTTTTTCCACAGGATGAGGTTGCCGACACCACGCCCAACCCTCCTCCTTTACCCAGTCTTGGGACCGGCAGTATCTCTGGAAGAGCTACATCCGGAGTTTTACTTTATTATGTGGATTAAAAATCCATATTCAAAGTGCTTTTCTGTATTTCCTTTCCAAAATGATTCGATCAGTGATTTATCGTTAAGGACAAAATTAACTCACCAGGTCAACATGCCGTTCATGAATCAGTTTGAACACAGGATTTATCAAGCAAACAAAGAGATTTTAAAATTTACCAAAAAGCTTTAATCTGCAACAAGTTAAAACACTCAACTAATACAGTATATCCTATATCAGACTCAATCCTACTGTCTTAGTATAATGGGTAAGATGGGTACTGCTTTTTGTGAGACTTACTTCAAAAGAACCATAAACTTGACTACCTTCATTAGGCCAATATTTCACTGAAGCATCGTTCAATTCAAACTGGTCAATTTCATCCATTTTTTTTAGTTCATCAATACGTTCCAAGCAAACGATTACGACACATCCTTGTTCCCAAACCATTAACCAAAATTCTGGAACTGACTTAACTGTTGGCGTTATTGTAGCAATGTAAACAGGATTTCTTGGATTAGTATCATACTAATTGGAAATAAAGTGAAATATTTTGAGATAATTTGAGTACAATTCAATGAATTCTAAGTAATACTGTTTTATAAATATATGGGGTAAAACGCTTTAGTTAACTGATTGTCTCAGTTCATCGTTATTTTAAGTTAGTGTTATTTAACTAACTTAATCTTATATTGAGTTAATAACGACGTGATGCTTGAGGTTTCTGTGGTAATATCTGTCAAATTATTCTTTGAGCATCATGCTCCCAATTTGTCTAAAAATTATTGTCATTTAGAAATTCTAGTAAACTGTATTGAAACTGAGTCCAATTGTCGTAAATATTGTAATTCAGTGTAATAAATGTTAATTCTATGTGTTCCTTTCACCGTAACATACTTCACTCTCTGTCACCTTTTGTGTATCATACTATAATACTGAATAATTTTCAGTAACCAATATTATGGTCAGTCATTTTTGAGCATACCGTCAAAAACGTCGATTGTTGTGCGCTTGGTTCACGGTATTTAATTCATTTATAATTCCGCTATTAATAGTACCTTTGATACTTTTATAATAATGACTTTTGATAGTAAAGATAAGCAAAAATAATGTTAATCAACAAACGATAAGCTGCCGTACGATGAGTCCTCATGATATTAAATTATTATTATTATTATTACTCTACCTCAGGATAACGTGAAGTCAAATTATAAGATCACTAGTTAGAATATATTTTTAAACGATGAACTAACATGTACAAGTTATTAATAAGAAGATGAATATGATCAAATATCATAGTTGGTTGAAGAAATCAGTTTTGTAAGACACTCACTCCCCGATGAATTAAGTCCTGACCTTTAATCCTAATTCTGAATCATGATATTAATTAAAAAACGTATTTTCTTAATTTGTTGTTTGTTCGTTGAAAACCTATTTATTCATGGCAGTTTCCATATTTTATGTACTTATTTCTCATTTCGTTTGTTGGTTTTCATCACTGAATTTCCTGTCAATAATTCCCATACAACAATACAGGAAGCACATCTCCCTTCATTGACCGTTGATTCAGTAAAAACCTGAAATAGCTCAATAATTGAGGCTTTTAAAATATATTACTTATGTCACTGTAGTCGAACCGGGCTTCGATTTTAGGATTTTACGGTTAATTCATTTATTCGATTTGAATCATCGAGTGAACCTAATAATGATAACTGCTGTGTTAGTTCAAAAGATTTGGTGAGCCTTGTTTCTAATTTTATATGGGTTTAAATATAAATCAGACATATTGTTAGTGTGTGGTTCATTTAAAAAATTTTAGATTTATACTTTTATAAAATAATAAATATTATTTTAGATGACTAATTCATGGAGATTTACACGAAACATCACCAAAAACTTGGTAATTAAAAGTTTGTAGTGGTACTATAGGGTATTTTAGTGTTCAATTTCACAAGCCCCAAGTCATTGTAACGAGATGCAGCTAATTTATAAATCTCACCTTAAACATTTTATTTAATAAATATCTAAAGTTGTTTAAAGAATTTACGTTATTTTCTACAATCAGCACATATTCGATATAAAAAATTCCTCAATCAAAATACGGTATATTTGAATGTATACGCTTATAGTATCATTGTTTACTGCTGCACAATTGATACGATTTTGTTATTTTATAATACTGACACTCGACTGCGAAAAATATCCTAATGAGGAACTGTTTACTTAATTAATGAATTACAGTAGCCGTAACGTTTATTAAAATGTAACGTTTGTTCAATAAGGTATTTATAGTATAGTTATAAATAAAAATTCAAACTGTTAGATGTTTTTTTCAGTCTTCACAAGATTTATCTAAGTGTAGAAATTCCAGTTCATATTGATATAATATAACTTGGCGGCCTGCTTGAACATCTGGGCTACCTGTTCCTCTCATCTAGATATTTCATCAAGTTATCTGTTTTGTTGTTTGTTTTAGCACATCATTATGTCTATTGTGCTCAGAATCTATTCAGGCGCGTTTATGAAAAGTTTACAACCTTTCGCTATACGAGATACAAAAGGGTACAATCAGCGACATCATGGTGGCTGGCAATATGCATTGAAACGAATGAACATTAATCAAATGTAGATAACCGAACTCCTAACATCTAACTGATCATCATTCAAAATTTATCGTCACAATCGATCAAGGTATAAGAAAATGAAACTTGTTGAAATACTTTATGCTGCGAATTCTATGTTGTACCAAAAATATAATGTTGAATAAAGCTTCTAATAATAATAATAATAATAATAATAATAATAATAATAATAATAATATATTAATATCGTACGGTAACAATTAACCCAACTAATAATTTTCTAAAATAATATTCTGCAGCAAATACACTTCGTATATAATAATATGTCCATATATTGATACACTTGATTTACAGATTTTATTGTATACGATAATAATGGGTGAGTTTAAATGTTGATTTTAAAAAGAAATAACAATACGATTTGCAGAATAAAAATAACACACTTTTTAGTTTTCTCTTCTATTTCTAGCTTATATTACCTTTCTAGAATTTGTCTTTTGTATATTTTCCTAGTGAATCTCATTATCAATCATCGTCATTTGAATAATCGGAAACATGAAAATTACAGTAATAATATGAATACTTACCATTAAACTTCCATTAATGTAATCGTTATCACCAGATCGAAGTTTAACTCGAGATTGTTCATCTAAAAACACATTAAAAGTATGCGTGGTCAAAAGTTTCGATGTCCAAAATTGTCATTTAAAAATACTGAAAGTTTTATATTGATACCACTTAAGACTACTATAATCCAGGTAATATGACTACACAAGTGTTAAAAATAATGAATATCATGTAATGTAACTCAAAGTAACTTAAATCCAAAATGCCTATATCTTTAACTTAACACCAAAGATTCAGTTTCGCTATGCTCACGAGGAAACTGTAAAGCCTTGAACTGTTTCTATATTCCCGAAAATCGATTAACGGTACGAGAGAGATGACTAAATAGCAATTTCGATCAATTAAATAAACATCCTTGTGGAAGAGAAATGCCCAGAAATTAACAATCAATAAATACCTGGTAAATATATATTTTTAGAACTTACAGTACAGTTAAGTGAGAAACGTACATGGAATTGGTGCACATTCTCGATTCCTAAACTGATTTATAGGATTTTTACCTTCTTCATACAAAATATTTTCTTCAGACACATACTTATCGATTGAATTCCAATCATCTGTTAGTTGATTTCTATCTTGTAAATGTTTTTCCATATATGACTAAATAAAAGTAAAAAAAAGCTGTTTGATGATGCAAATTTCAAATTAACGTTTCTTACCAAGTCAGACTTAGGTCTACGGACATTACCAATAAATAATGAAGGGTTTGAAATCATAAGACCTTGAAAGATTTGGTTGTATGTTTATGCATAATAATTTTACCATCACTTTAGGTCATGATTGTCTCCAGTGATGGAACATTTCATCCATATCTTGTCTTTATCTTACTCCTGAGTCCATAATATATCTTTAGAAAATGCCTACCATGCATAAAAAACAGGAATAATGCAAATGGACATGCAGTAAGGCATTCTGTTTAAGCTTCTGAATTCCAGAACATGGAATGACAACAAAGTAAATAGTAAAAAAAAAAACAAGATAATATGATGCATGAAGACCAGGAAATGACAAGTAGTTAAATCATCTGAACTACGTACGATGTTTACACTTACTAAAACAAAGTTTTTATGTTTTTCTTTATAATATAAGCATTAGGACCAGTAAATATATTTCTCGGCCGAAAAATTGGATTGATGTTGTCTCACGATCACTGAATTCGGCAACCAAACTGAGTCTACTGCTCATCATCATGAAAAATTCTCCCTCATTACAGTAGCAACTACTTCGGAAATCATTATATATATATATATATATATATATATATATATATATATATATATATATATATATATATATATATATATATATATATATACCACTTTGGAAAATCAATCCATTTCCTAACCAACGGTGAGCACTTGACCTTCTCACTTGGCTACTGCTCATTGGCTCACCCTATCATATATAGTTAAACAATATCTGCTTTTGACAGTTTTTCTTGACTAGATATGGTGGTAACTTCCTCAACAGATTTACTGTGATTTTCGCAAAACGAAACATCATAGCGTACATCTAAAATATTTTGAATCTTATTTTACCACATCAAATCAATATAATGGTGATTCTACTAGCTTTTTAAAAAATATAATCATACATACAAAGCTAAATAACCAACAGTACTAAAACAAGATTAAAAAAAAGGAACCAAAAGTTTTAATTAAACAATAAATTTGTGATACCTTTTATTTGTTTTAAAACATTTAGCAAATATGAAAAGAATTAAAAAAACAGATAAGTAATATAATGTACTTACTAAAATTATATGTCCAGTTGGAACATCAATACTGCATGGGATTGGTTCACTTGACCTAAAATTTCAATCGAATCATTTATCTGATTAATTTAAATTCTACAAAGAATGAATATACTACTTTTAATTTCATGTACTAATTTAAATAAAAATAAGTAGTAAATAAATTATATTTATTTTTTAAATAGTGAAATGTATACTCATTGTGTAATATTATCGGTTAATTTCAATTGAAGATAAGAATTCATCTGATTTATCTTATATTTATTAAGTGTAGTATTTTAACAGAAGTGAAGTGTAACATTTATTGTGAGCTGATGATAGTAATAGGTAAGTTGGAGTCAAACACATCAAACCTTAAGAAAGAATCTTTGTTCGTAGAAGTAATTTAATCCGAAAGATACCCACCGAACATTCAAAAATAGTAAATAATTGAGTAAATGCTTGTGTTTCTACTGACTTAAAACTCCATCAAAATTTGTTACAAAAGCCAGTATATATATATATATATATGACATTTTATAAGAAGCTGATTAAGAAATCCGTAGTAGTTTCATATTCTTAAGGCAGTAAGGAACTTCACATACTTAATACTTAACGTTTCGAAATCATATAGGTCACTGTTTACAGATTTGTGTATGTTTAAATTGTTTCAAAATCACTCGATCCAATAAATACAACAAAACCGGTTCGTACGATTTTTGCAATGAATCCAATATCTGAGGGCATGACAACTGTGCCAAAATCAAGTTTAATTCTTTGACATCTATAATCACTGTATACCACAAGGTTGTCATACATCTCCTCATTTCAGTTGACGCAAACATCAGTGAACATGAACTTCGTCAAAATGGTAATATTGACAGAAAATTCCCGTTCGTCAATAATTGATTTAAGCCTAAGATATGGATCAGAATTTTCTTAAACTAGAATAAAACAGTTTTCAAATTTCAAACCATACCTAAATCACTTATTTACATCAGTTGATTAATGGATTTCATAAAGTGAATTTATGGTTTCATAGATGTGATTTATTGTAGTATAGATGCAGAAAAGATTTTCTGATAAGATTGCTTTATGAAGTACAAGCGATTGAAAAAAAGTCAATGAATTCCGAGTTAGCATTACTACATTAAATTTGAAAGCTTTACACTTTAACTTAACGAAATCATAAGTAATTAAAGTTACATTACATAACATTGAGATTATAAACGATTCCATGAAAGCGGATAACTTCATCAATTTCTTTTATAAATTATTTCAACAACCACCACCGTTCTGGAAATAAAGGAGATCTGTCTCATCTGAATTTAGGTCATTCTAGCAGGAAGTACTTCTTTCTGTTTATTTTCCCGCACGACCATTTGAGCCTCCATTTATTGATACTTTAATCACATAACAGTACAATATTTTTCTGTTAGGATGTGCAGAAAAATATACCAATAGTTATCATGTTAAGTCGAATGGTGTCCTTGGACGTTAAATGTACATTTCCTATTGGTCGATATTTACTTCACTTGTTTAATATTGTGTAAATGTTGTTTTCTATTTTTATGGTACGATGTGGTCTGCTTGGTTAGTATATAAACAGAGTGTATGTGGAATATAATGATTCATATCTCAGAGGCTGTGACTTGCGTTCTGGACTCAACTGGCTGGGATAGACAGGGAAGCAGGGCCAATCGGGACTCTAGGTTGTCCATTATGTGTCACTGAGTCGATCGATAAATACGCTGCTTGTCAAAACCTGCAGTCACACGTTACAACATTTTCCAAAAAACTATTGTATAAAGTAGTATACTGAATAGTGATGAAAATTGTTTTATGAATTCGATATAGATAAAAAAAATCAAAATAGGCTTGATTCACTTTCTGATTTTTTGTTAATCCAACCACCTTAGTTTCGTATAAGAGTATTTAGATAATATAGACTATGAGATTATCGAATTTTGCAATTTAGATGTATATAATGAACATTTATACATTTTTGATTTGTTTACCGTTTACATATAAGTGCTAACTTACTTATTTAACATGAAAACATCTGTGTATGAAAATGATGCATCTTTTCCAGCGCTTTGAAATGGTTCCAATGAGTTTTCATTAGTTGATGTTTGTAGTAATGCATGAGTATTAGATTCATTATTAGTGATCATACGTCTTACAACCCACATTGTATCTGTAGACAGTAACAATTCACTTTCAACTGATATACGTGAAGTTTGACTATTCTTAGACTCGAAATTGTTTGCTGATTCATCACTCTGTATTTCATGTGTTTCATTTTGTTTCATTACTCATTATAACAGTTAATTATTTTTGGAAATATTATATACGTATGTATAAGCTAAGTCCAAATAAAATGACCAATTATTTAATTATAATTTAAAAATCAATAAAATTAGTCAATATTTAGCCATATATCTTAAATTTCATAGGTTATTTTTCTATTTAAATCATTGTTTATGTGCATTGAGCACATGCGTAAATTTAAAATATTGTTGTTGTCTTTGAACAGATTGGTCGATTCATGTGATAGTAAATTATTATTTAATGTACTAAATATCATTATCATAGTCAATTTACTCAGTGTATGTTTAAATTACTAACTGTATTATTATTATTATTATTAAACGGAAGCATGTCATATGTATTGATGATAATTTTCCATAAGTACATTTATTAAAATGGTTTTTGTATTAACAATTAGTAAATAGATATCATGAAAAAACTACGATGAGATTTGGTCATTTGTCTAGACATTTCCTAACTAGTTGAATGAGTGAAGATTTAAGGAAAAAAGAAAAAAAAAACATGTATCTACATGATGCTTTTTATTTTATACGTTTATGTTTGTCACAAAACTAGATAGATGAGATTTTGTAAAATCAAGAAAACATTAAAAAATAATTATGATCTATTAAATGAATTTTTTTTAAAAAAGATAAAATTATTTACCATGATGTAACACTACTTTGTTGAGATCCAGAAAGATTATTATTGTGTGCAAGCTTTTTACATTGTAAATGAGGTGAATCATCTAATTGACATGATAATTTTTCATTTGATTCACTTTTAGATTTACGCTAAAATCATAAAGTTAAATGTTGAATAATCATAAAATTGTATGAATTAACTGGTCAATATTTTTATCATTATAAAATAAAATACATGTCTATTGTATCTTTTTTTTAAAGGAATTTTCAATATTTCAATTAGTACCAAGAGTATTTCTACACAATTTACGAAACAATATTCTAAAGTTCTAATCTACATAATTAACCTCCTTAAATGGAAAACTGGTTTAACAATTAAAACTAGACAACATTTAAATGATTTATTAATCATTAGCTTTGTAGAAAATACAATGGCTTGTAATCTATAGTTTCATGAAGTTAGACATTTTGATAAACATTTTAAGTAAAAACAACATATATCATTGGGTGAAGTAGATTAATTTCATTCCATGTGCATTACTTCTTCCATATACCACTGATATGTATAAATAAATAAGATAGTTTGACAAATGTAATTGATCAATAATCAATCTAAAGCGAAAGAGAGTGAGATCATACAACTGCTCTACTCAAATCACCGCTCTATCATAGGAGTTTCAATGTACACTTACGAGTTTTTTCCACTTAAACTACCCCGTAAAAATATATCGCTGGGAAACTGTCTATTTCCTTGTTTAATAGTCTATTTTATAGTTAGAATTCATCAACGCTAACAGAATTCAGCCTTAAGATTTTGGATCCTAAGTAAAACATGGTATTTTTAGACTATTAGGCGAAGACTGAGTGACCAATATATCCACGGGCACTTTCAGTATAGCCCAGAAATTATCCAGTCGTGATTATTTTTATCCTTCTCAACTTTAAGATGGTTTGAAATTCAATGGGTGATAGCTTTTGATTATTTCAGAAATCCATCACGAATGTAATTCCTAACTATTATGGTAGAGGTTTCGTGTTAATCGTTTCTCACTTGGGTAGCTAGATGGTTCGATAAGTCTTCAGGCGATATGTTTATTTTTACATTCAAAATATCACTCCATCGTATAAGATCAAGATATTGTCTAAGTGAAATGTTCTGACATCTAGAAACAGTGAGGAATATAGGCTGGTAATTGGTTCAAAAACGATATAAGTTAATTATTCGCTCTTCAATATTTTTTGATTACACTGAATTGTGATAGGATCGTTCTTATAAGCAAAATATTTGATTGGAACTGATACTGTGAACTTTTTCTTCACAACAATAATACTTCAAAGTGTAAGCTTTCACTAAATAGTGTTGCTTAGATAGATGAGCTGCAATAATAACTATCCAACAAATCTATGACTAAATGCTGATATCATTTTGAACTTTCTTTACTCATTCAATAGAATGTCTCCAACATAGCTTTCACTGGTGTTTACAATTGAAGTGCATTTTGAAGCATAATATGCATTCTAACTATTAAACGAGTTTATTTTACTTGGCTTTTCATTAAATTCTTCATGGTAGTTGCAAACATTTCAACTCTTCATTCGAAATATTTCTCATGAAATACAGGAAAATGAACAATTTTACATTAAATTGTCTTGTTTTAAACTTATTACCTTTTTTCGACATATTTGAACTATATAAATTGCCGTGAGTATAACAACTGCAGTAAGTATGCTTGAACATAGAATTATTGTCATTGTATATTTTTCCCATTTTACATGACCAAATTTTTTTAAACTTTTATCGTCGACAGAACGGTGCAGAGGCGATGGTTGGGGGGATTCAGTAGGAGCATTTGTACTGGAATATGTAGTTACTGTATTCACAGCCTTTCAGTCAAAAATAATCGGGTAAAAGATAATTGAAAGGAGAGGGAACAAATAATGTGTTAATAATCATGTTTTTCCTTTTAAAGGGAAATATGATAATTCAGAAATTTACCAAAGTAACTATTGAATATTCAATTACTTCTTTTTTTGTTGTTAGAGGTAAGCGGTAAGAAACTGCGAACATTGTTTGGCTCAGCGGTAACGTTTCAGATTTTGGAGGATTCGAACCGTGCATGGAGCACTAGATCCCTCAAGATTTCTGGTACACTTTGTTAACGAGTGCCAACTAGCACTAAATCTAGGTTTGGAGTTTCCAGTCAATTATCTTCAACCATCCATTACCTCAACATAGTGCACACGATGTCAAGTCAGTTGGACTGGTAGCCACAGTACTACTTAATTTTTGGAATTTGAGAAGTAATAAAGGATCAGACAAGCATGACATTGTTTCCTACTCAGTATTTTCAAAGACCTGCCAAAATGTATTGAAGAAACAAACCTTGATGGAATGAACTATAATAAAAACTATCGTATGTAAGTGATTTAGATCTATCTAACACACCTCGAAACGGATTAAGACAAAAAGTGCAAATGACATGTATACATCTTGCATGTTTATTCCTTTTTATATTTTATATCTCTGTATTAATTCAACAACTTGCCCAAGGCCATTAAAATTACAATTAACTGACAAAGCAATATCATATTCAGTTAATAAGAATTAGCTAGAACCATCATTCATTAAAATAATTTTGTTGTTGTTTCGTACGGTACTGATAAATTTGATACATCCATAGTGCATAGGATTTTACTTTCATAATTTCTACATCGGACTGATTCAAACCCCTCTAAAACAAGGCTACTGATAATCATACTTATAAACAACTCCCTCTCTTATGCCGGTAACAATTTATATCATGTAAATTTTTTTACGATTTTGAACTAAGTTTTGATTACATTACACCACTTAATTTATAGTATGTTGTTTCGTAGCTAGACATTTTTAGTATTCTCAAATTAGTCCTTCAGGTCTAGGAATATTTATATTAAATTATAATAACACTCTTAGAGTTTTGAAATCTTTATTACTGTTCTCGACAAACTATTATTGATGACAAACAAATTATGTTACCACTTTTAAAATAGTGTGTACATACATTTGTGAATTTACAGCTTACAGAATTAGTTGACTTGGTTTCACAACCCTCATTAACTCTGATTAACCATTTCAAGTTTTAAGTTCAACATTGTTTCTTTAATTATAATAAGTGCTTAGCTTGGATCAGTTTGTCAATTTAACGAAACTTGTTTTAGCGTAATATGTAAACAGCAAGTACTCAGTTAACACCAAACAGTATGTCTTATGTTTGAATAGTGTTATACTTAGTTCTTATTCAGTGGTAATTCATAGAGTGTAAAATCAATTTTTACTGAGAAGAATAATAAGTTCGAACTTACTCCACGGCCAAACCCAACATCTTCAATTGGATAACCATCTATTAAACTCATATTTGTATCTGAAAAGAAAAGAAATATGTAAAATTAAAAAAGTATCTTTAAAATCCAAATTTGGCTAAAATGGAAATAGAGATTAATTTATTGACTGAAAATAAATATCTAATGCATTCCAGTCTTAGGAGTTTATTTCCCTATTTTCACACAACTTGAAATAAAAAAATCCTCACCAAATAAGCTAATTAATTTTTGTATGCTTTCCAATTATTTCTTCTTTACATTATCTTGAAATGTCAATTTTAACCTTGAGTTTGAAATAACTTGTAGAAATACGCTTAACTTCGCTGTTTTTTATGTTATACTTTTGTTTATTTACTTTTTCTTCGAAAGAGTACGAGATCCTGAAGATTTTAGTTTAAAATTTTCACTTCATTCTTCTCATGCTTTACTAATATCAATAACACCAAGATGGGTACCACTGTTTTTAAGGAACTCATTCGCACTTCTACAAATTACATTTTCTTAATTATGTGCATATTTTTAAAATTCTTGCTTAAGCTATAAACCCGCTGATAATAACCATTGGTGGTTTCATTGTTGATAACTATTTTGGGGACAGCTGTCATACTGAGATGATGAATAACTTTGCAGACAGTTGTTCTCTCAAATAAGTGGTTAGGGTTTTTTTATCAGACCCTAATTATTCTACTAATAGGTTCACCCATCTTTGTGTCTTGGTAGAACAATGTGCAGTTTCGCTTAGAATCATCCTTATTCTTAGATAAAATGGACGAAACCATGTGAATTCTGTTTATGAAGTTTCTCTGTTATTAGTTTTGTAAAATCCAATAGCTCATATCACAAAAATTAAACACTTTCATATTGGTAGAGAAGTGAACCAAATATTTATTTTATATATTATTAAAACTCATCACTGTTTGGAGATCATTCATATTAGTTTAATAAGGATCAATAGCCGTACAAGAGTATTTTGCAATATATAAATTATTTCTAACTACTTGATTTGTTCAATAACAGATATATAGGTTTATTTAAATAAATTGAAATTTCAATTAAGAATCTCTGATTTAGTGATAATCAAGTAGATGATAGTAAATCAATACATTGGTTTCTCATTAATAAAATAGTTTTAACTAGTAAATACATTTCAAGTTACAAATCTATATAGATAAGACGAAGATTAAGACCGGATAATTACTTGTTTTCAATACTATAGTTGCAATCAAACTTATATTCACTACGTTCTATAGAAATCAGATCATCTTTTGAGATAATAGCCAGGACTTACTTAGATTTTGTTTTTCTGCACACTTGAATATTATTATTTTTTTAATAAACCAGAATAAATGTAACATGACAATAGTGATTTGCATCCAACTATCATCTCACTCTGGCTAAATCTCTTCCATTAGTTAATAAAAATATTTGATCTAAAATCGGCAGTTACGGTGCAAACGACATATTATACATTCGACTCTATGTATTAACTTTTTAGTATCAATACAACCATTATTGTGTGAAGATATTCAATTTCTTTTGCAAGCTCCACTGGGTAATATTACTTATCAATTAATAGTATGTAAATTAGTCACACTCATTTCACATGTCAACTAAATCTAAGTCTACATAAAATTTTGAACATGATATTTTTACAAAGTAGGAATCAGTAACCACCTAAATGATTTAACTTTCCTTTAAAGAATGGTTATTAATCTTGATGAGTTAAATGTTTCTTTTTAACGGGGCACGGGAAAAACGAATTTGAAAAGATAAACCTTTTACAGGAATCTTGTTCCCGGAGGTGAGACTTTGATTTCAGTGAGTTAGTAAAGTACAAATTAAGTTTAGTGTAGGATGAAATATTTTGCTGATTCCACGAAAGGAAGCAGTCTAAAATTAAGTATAATTAAATACACTAAGTCGCCAATACACATTTCTTCACGAAATCAGTAAATTTATATTTGTGACGTACAAAATATCATACGAAGTTAGCTCGTTAACTAGTCAGATATTTAATCTTATCAGCTACGGATCATCAAAATCTTTAGTATCACCATTTTTTTTGTAGTATAATTAACAATAATTTCTAAATGTTCTACATCTATTTACAAAAATCAGATTTTTACAAATAAAGGAAACAAATCGTTGAAGAAAAATGCAAATATTCTAAATAAGTTAGCGAACAATCATCTTTATAATGCATTAATCAGCCAGATTATATTTTTCATGATTGTTTTAAAACAAAAATACTGTTCGATTTTCTGACGTTTAAAGATGCTGATAAGCAATTTAGCATATACTCTGAAATAATTATCATTCATTGTACTGTTTATTCTCTATTCGTTTACATTTTCTTTTCAAAAGATAGTGTTCTTTATACTAATTTAGTTACATCAATATTGTTTCACAAAATATCCTATCTAAATTAATTTTATATTATCATGATGAACAGATTGAAATAATAATCATTAAAAATATTGGTTTTGCTTACTAAGAGCATCAACAATAGCATCAGCGGACACTCCAGCACTAGATGGAACATGAAAGTATAATACACGTCTCGATTTATCAAGGCTAAATTTGTTAAAGAAAATCGTAGAGAGAGAAACAATGTAGCAATAGATAGCAGAGACTAATTTTATGTTTCAATTAATAGGTATTCAAAAGTTTATCATGAACCAGTCTTAATTTCATTCTGGTCCTTATATAACCAGAGACCGCTAACTTCGGAAATAAACCGTTTTGTGCTAAACAAAACTAAGGTTGTATAGAACAAGTTTATACTCGAAATAAGTCTATTTTATATGAAAATTTGTCAGAATTTGAATGAAAAGTTTAACAGAAATTAGAAATCAAGTAATTAAAAGGGGTAATGTGTAAAAATTATATTTGAAAAATTCTCAGTGAATAAAATTTATTGTTAAATCTCCACCCGATAAAATGTTTCAAGGAAATAATCAACATGAAAATTAATTATTCCCTTAAAGAAGCTTAGGACAATTTGTTGGATGAAACTTTTAAAGTATTTGAATTTCAATAACTAAAATTATTTCAATTATAAATTTGATCGATAACATTAGTTCATGATGAAAGTTGTCTTTTAATAAAATAGAAAATTAATATGAATGAACCAATTAAATAATGTTTGGTCATACATTTCATTCTCCTATAATGTGCTTATTTCAATATTTATTTCTTTATTAAACTTAGAATTAAATAATGAAATCAAGGAATTGTAAACTCGGAAAAATATTCATTGTTTTAATTATCAAACAACATCTCATGTAAATCATATTTGACAATGAAAAAAAAGATTAATGATAATAATTAATTGTAATTGTTTAAAGATCCCCGTCATATTAAAAGACTAGTATTTGAACGAAGAATATTCTTTTCGATAAATTCTCTTCAGGTTCTACAATTATATATCCAAATTAATAGTCCGAAAAAATGGCCAGGTTAAAGGCAAAGTACATCGTTTAGAGCATGTGAATTTGGGATTGTGATAAATAAAATACAATAAAATTGTTAATGTTGATATGACTTATATAGAATGTTAACTTGAATCAGCTTATATGTTAAGTGAAATTTTAAGATCCATGATCAAAATAAATATGGGTCAAATAGGGTGAGAGAGGAATAATAGTGCAATTACAATTCGATCAAATAAGTAAGACGTAATACGGAGGGGTGAATGCGAAATGAATGAATCATGTATAGGGGAGATTAATGATGTATGAATAATAATAATAACACAAAGATTTATGAATAAAGAAAACAGGGACAATTACAATTGACTACGAAATGTCATAGTCAAATGAGTTCATTCAATAGTTAAGATTACGATTGATTAATTGGCCTTGATGTCGGCCAAGGGAGGAGGAGGAGTGGTTGAATATATTTCTTCTGTACGCAAAGCTCCGGTTTCTTCATCCGGATGGCTATTGCTTCAGCCGTTTGAAGGACTTTCAGTCTGATCGGTTTTGGCAAGAAATTACTTACCTTATAAATAATTGAAAAAGATTGGTTTATACTGGCACTATGACCGGTTTGTACTAAACGGAGCGTACAGAAGAAATATATTCAACCACTCCTCCTCCTCCCTTGGCCGACATCAAGGCCAATCAATCAATCGTAATCTTAACTATTGAATGAACTCATTTGACTATGACCTTTCGTAGTCAATTGTAATTGTCCCTGTTTTCTTTATTCATAAATCTTTGTGTTAATATTATTAACATTCTATATAAGTGATATCAACATTAACAATTTTATTGTATTTTGTTTATCACAATCGCAAATTCACATGCTTTAAACGATCTATTTTGCCCTTAACCTGGCCATTTTTTCGGACTATTAATTTGGATATATGAATTGTAGAACTTGAAGAGAATTTATCGAAAAGAATATTCTTCGTTCAACTACTAGTCTTTTAATTAATTATAAACTATTGGTATAATAAAATGAAAATAAAACAAAATGGATACTCATCATAATTTCATGACAAAAAAAAAGTTTTGAAACTTACAAAAAAAATGAAATTGGTGATGTCAGCTTTAAATCATGTGATATTTTAAGTACAATGAGTTGTGCTTCATGATTGGTTATTCTATTGAAATTATAATAAAAAAAAAGACTTAACTAATAAAGATGAAGATAAAATCAAGTAACTAAGATCAAATTATTTACAATGTATGTAATTTTATTATTAACATTCTAATTTATTAGTAGAATTGTGATATTAATTTTCTGGAATTGTCATTTTTAACTGAGTAAACGATATAATTTTTTTTTTTTTTAATGAATTACTGTGAAATAAATTTTATACTGTACAATAAAAGTGCCTAATTGATATTCTAACGGATTAAATAATATATTTTGGCCATGTAGATGTATATTACATGAAGTCAAGAAGTCAAATTTTTTATTTTAAAAAATACCGACTTGATTTTGTTCTAAAATCTCCACAAAACCCATTCTGATAATAATCAACTGCTCACCAGTGACTGACTTCAGGAAAAAACTCCCGAAGTTCTAGTGAGAAGCCGTTACCAGTGGAGTTCAACCAGGTCTGTTGTGAGATAGGAACTCACTGAAGACAATGGTGTACGGTAGCGCAACTTCGTGGATTGGTTGAAGTTAGACATTAACACCGTTGGATGCCGGCTCAGTGATCTAATGGTTAAGTGCTCGCGCGCGAAACCAGTAGGTCCTGGGTTCGAGCCCCGGGTGGTGCGGGGTCGTGGATGCGCACTGCTGAGGAGTCCCATACTAGGATGAAACGGCCGTCCAGTGCTTCCAAGTTTTCAATGGTGGTCTAGCTTCAACTGACTCATGATTTCAATCTGTGTTCTTTGAGCCAAACGGTTTAGTCTTCAAACTTTCATTTCATACAGCAAAATTAGGATGAACTTCTAAGTTTCGTGCTAATAATTTTGTTTAAAAAGTAAATTAAAGCTTTGGGATTGAAGTACCCAGGTTAGGAAATATAATTTCAGTGAAATCTGTCTGAGCTTCAAATCTTCTTTAGCATCTCAAGATATAATATAGTGCAGGTGTGATAAGCCATAAAATACTCTTCGAGTTTTTATATTTATTGATGAATATACCATTTTGCTTTGATATATATTATCGCATTATTTCTTGATGAACTTGGAATTTCTTAAGTTTTACAGGAAATATCAGTTTCTTGACTATCAATGACCTACCCAAACTTATCGCTTGGTTGGTTCATTTTGAAAAGAGCCAGTTTAGTATGGATACTTAACATGTTGCAGGTATCATACTTGTCAAGTGATTTGACGATTTCGCTTTTAATTGTCCTGTTGATGATTATATTATGTTATATTAAGTAGCCAAAATCTTATAAAATTGTTTGTTCATGACTATTTCATGTCGACTTTTAATACCGTGGACAAGCTATTTTCTTATTTTCATGGTTATTTGGTATTTCAGTTCAAGCAAGGCATTTCACTAAAAAATATAACCTGGCGAAGTTGGTTCGGTTAAATTTTAAAAATAAAAAAATTTATTTCTTAGATATTCTATTTCTCTTCGTTCAACTTCTATTTATATCTGGAAGGGAGGAAAATGTGTACTTTCTTATTTTAACTCTCACGGTTGACCTCTATTGAGGGAATAATTTATGACTCCTAGTAAGATTTATAACACTGATCTACATTTATAAAGAGATATGTTGGCTCGTATGAAATAACCAATTAATTATAGACCAGTTATGATAATAGGTTTTATGATAATCACATTGGTTTTCTTGCAGTTGTTAAATACGTTAATTACATTTAAAAGAAAAGGAAACTTGCTCGATGTTGTGAGGCTTTAAGAGTCTCCTAGATATGAAATATGCTTCATGATAATTTTAAATTCGATTACTTATATGTAGTTATGTAGTATGTGCTACTTATATTGACATAAGTAGTATATGATGTTAGTCGTGAACAGCAGGTCTGGCAGCAAAGAGACAAGAGGATCGAACAGTAAAGAATGGAAACAGGATTCAATTTGTATGAAAATGCAAAAACAATGAAGTCTGAGTCATTTTGAGACAATCGATGGACATTTTGCAAATTAAGCATTTACTTTATGATTGTTAGATTTTATTAACAAGTCCTGTAATTTTGTGTTAAACACATTCGATTGTCCTCACAAGTGTTCGTGTTCACTACATTAACACTAGGTATAACCGCTAAATATAGTATTCTAGACTTTGGGAAGAAACGAAATCTCATATTTTGACTACAAACGTGCCAAAATGTAACAGCTTTATCCTTCCCAAGAGATCAGATAATTAAGAGCCATAGAAATTGGGACGTTTATAAACCAAACGCTTGTAATAAGGATAGGTAGTAACTTTGGAGGATATAAATTTGAAGTTTTCAAAAAATAGATAAACAGTATCATAAGAAACTAAACACCATCTTACATTCATTACTTAAAAGTTAACAAAGTATTTAGCTTTAATATCCGTAGACAACTTACGAGCTTCAATTTGTGAATCTCTTGCAACGTATTTCTTATGGGCATGATAGCATGTGAAGTTTAGAATCACAGCATTACCATTTACACAGATAAACTACGAATTAAGATAAGTGAATTAAATCTTTTAATATCTCGAAAACCGTTATGTTATGTAGTCTCAATCCAGTCACTTTCACATTCATAACTGTTGACTAGTCAACTGTAAAGAAGAAGCGGGTCAAGATTATGTGAGAAACATTAATCTCAGAAGTAAAATAATAATGTACGCACGTCACTCTTAGTTGATGGTTTCTAGAAGAACAAGAACATGTTGACTGAGATCATTACTAGACTAATAGTCCACTCACTCATAAAAACTGGTCCATATTAACCTCTTTCTTTTCTAGTAGCATTGTGACAGTTTTGACCTGTACATCAGAGATAGTCAAGCGTTTAAGCAATTAAATTTTATCTTCAAACTATGAAACAGTCAGCATTATTGGAGAAATACGCTAGTTTCTATTTGAACATTACAATAACTTACGGTCCACTTAAAAATTTAATCCAAATCCATCTACGTTCCAATGGTTTATATGATCCAGACCCCACTTTTTGTGCACGTAATCTAGTGACTGATTTTGGTGGTATGATCGTTTCTTCCTGTTGTTGTGTTTGGAATTCAGATGGTAACGTTTCGCCAAGTAATGGTTCTTGCATATATTCTGAATGAATTATTTGTCCAAAAAAATTAAAAATATGAAACTTCATCTGAATTTTTAAGTGAATAACTTATTTTCGAAAATATATATACTTCAACTAGGAAAGGGAATAGACAGATACGTGAAGAAAACAAACTTTCAATTTCTCTATAAATGAGAAAATCACATAATTTACCGATAGATAAACATTTTGTAGTCAAGTTAGAGAACAATTCTAGTTTCAATGACGTAATGTTTTTCAACACAATTTTACGTTGACTTTTTGCAAGAAAACAAAAGAAAGTACTTGTTCTATCAAATGACGGAATCGCTTAAGTTTACAAACTTTTTAGATAGATGATACATGATAAATTTCCAATAACCTTGTTTTAAAAACAAAGCAAACAAATACATATTTAGGTAATTATAATTCAATCGTGATATTTTTATTTTTAAAACAAAAGTTTTGAACAAGTAAACGCAGACATCATACAAATCACTGACAAACAGAAAAAATTGTCAACTGTATAATGAAAAAATTCTTTGACTCAAAAAAATTAGTTCATAAAAGATTATTATACAAACATTTGAGAATATAATAGTTAAAACCAAACAAAAATAGACGCCGACATTAAAATATCTGGAAAAAAACTAAAAATGAAGTTGAAATTTATTTAAACTTGTTTTAGATCTCTTCAAAAGCATAGATTTCTGATCCTTAGACTTGTACCTAATGAGCTACTGTATGAGTGACAAAAATTCTTAATGATATTTTACTATGCCAACAGACCACCTTATAATGCTATTGATTCATAAATGATGTTGGTGAAGAAATTTGTGCTGAACATTGCTCTCAAAAAGGAACGTGTTATTTTTTAGTAAGCTAAATTTCAGTATCGTTATTACTAATTTTAACATATTTTCAATTTTTCGTCATCCAAAGCTGAAAGTTGTATTATTTGATATATGACTTTGAAATAAACTAGTTTAAAGAGATAGTTATGTCATAGCATTCTAGATGGATTTTGTTGATGAATACTAGCAATTACTGAAATTTCTGCTTATATATATATTATATGTAGTGGTTGTGAAGGTATTTTTCTTTAAAGTAATTGGTTCATTGAAGAAAGAGTGATTTACATTCGATGTGCAATGTGATTTCAAGCTCAAGGTTATGGGAATGATGCTGATTTTATGAAGTCAATAGATATTAGAATAGAAGAGATAAAATATTTTGTGCGTAATGCGTACAATATAAATACGTGGGATGAAAAAATAATCATTATGCTAATCAAATAAATTCTAAAGAGATTGATAAAATATTGACACATTACCCGACTGATTTCTCTATTATATTTATGAAAACCTATTAACTAACGATGCATTTTATATATATATTCAAGGTAAACCAAACTTATTCTAGACTAAAACCGATGTTACATAGCACAAAAAGATAGGAGTTTCTATGTGGGAAAAATAGTACTTTAAGATAAAATTCTCAAACAAGTAAGTGATCCCTTAATTCTAACGAATATCATATTTTTCTGGTTCTTAATCAAAATGAGATTCTATCGATTTCGTTGAAAACCCCTCACTACTCTAAGTAACTTAACATGTTTTAATGCCACGTAGTCGAGAGCTACCCATACAAGCTAAATAGATTAATGGTACTGTTTATATGACATTGGTTGACGTAGGCACATACATTTTGAAGAATGTCACTTCCTTGACGATTACAGATAAGTTTCACTGACTAGTTTTGACGATCACTGCTATAGGTGTATATATTGGATTAACACACATATTGCGTTCAGCATTGTCTTGTGCCACGCTGATTAGACATTACTTGGACATGTAGTGCTAGCGGATACTTGAGGAAAACTGTAGAATGCCCTTTTGTTAAATTATGAATATACTAAAGTTTTTCTTATTATGATTCACTATTCCATCTTGTTTTCATCTGTGTTCTGATTTGGGGACTTGTCGAGTGAATCTAGGTGTTTAAAGAATACTAAGCAATAAGAGTAGCTCAATCATAATAAGATATATTATAACAAGCACAAAACGAGAGCCCGGATGTTTGTGTTGATTGTCTTCAATCACCTAGCATTAAAACACAAATTAAATGTAGGTTCCTTGCCAACTAATGTGAAACAAAGTTAGATCAACTAAACAATATTCTGATATAACTCTATTGTGAAAAATAAGGCTTTCTGAGCTCAACAGAACAGCACTATAGTCAGCCTTAATTACACACATGCATGTATACATGTTGAAAATATATTTGACGTGAGAACGATAAACTACCTGACCAATATAAAATAGTGAAAGAGGATAGTGAGACAAAAAGTATATAACTAGAATGTATCTATCCCAATATACCGAGAGGATAGAAGTGTGTCAAGCACATGTTTGTGAAACATTAGCACTGATTAATTAGATATATTTTTAATCATAAAAGATTTAAATTCTATAAGTTATTATCAACATGTGCCATTCATTGTCGGGGTTAAGTACATTACTAATGTTATTCAAGCCTTGAATAATCAATATACTTGTTGGATTTCGAATACCAGTCAGTCTGGAGATGCAAATCCACTCATGCTTATATCACATTAAATTCAAGATTCAGTATAACTACTTTATTGAATAATAAAGTGGTATTGAGTCTCTTCAACGGAAGGTAATGATGGATTATTATTTGAAATATCTGAATTACTTGTTGGAAGAAGAATACTGTGCACTACTAAGCAGTTAAAAAAACTATTGTGTTTCAATTCGTCTATCAAAAGGATCAATTACAACATTTAATATAGTCTTTTTAAAATTATACCCATTAAAATATTACCGGTAACCACATTAATATCTCACAACTGAGTCTGTTACATCTGTGCTCTGCCTAGACCTCATTAGATATGAATCAGTTAACGCAGTTAAGGGATATTGTAAAACGAATGATAAACAGTGAAATATCTCAGTCCTCTCCCTAAGTTACCAACTAGAACCCCGAGAAATGTACCTTGCACTATTTTGTATTATTCAGGCTGAAAAATCCATGCGTTTATATGAACGAAGTACAAGACTATAATGAACCGTGAATAATAAATCACACTATATACGAAATAAGACATTCATATTACAAATCCAAATAAGAAGTTTATCGTTGATTATTAGTAATTTTTGAATGGAAAAACGTATAACAACACTTAATGAGTCAAATGAAAGCTTACAGTTAAGACATTACCAGCATACAACAAATCAATTATGTATATGCTGATTCAATAAAGAATAGCTTAAAAATGTTCCTGTTTCTATTTTCCCACTCATTCATAGTGGAATCCTGGTGTGACTTTAAGTTCGGCTAGTTATCACGTAATTTATTCGCCAATCAAAATACGATTTATTCACTCTTCTACTGTAATAAACCAATGACGCTCAACCAGTCTGATCAGCCTAGAGTCCTCATTGGTCCTATGTTCGCCTAGCCCGTCCAGTTGAGTCCAGAACACCAATAACAGCTTCCGCTCTATGAATCATTTATTTCAGACATACTTGGTTTATATACCAGCCAAACAGACGCCATCGCACCATAAAATAGGAAATAACATTTATACACAATAAAGCCAAAATTGGCTATGAACGTGGGAGACAGTAATTAATAAACTGAGTATAATTTAAAAACAGTAAATCGTAAAATAATAAATTATAGATCAAAGTAAGGCTTATAATAAGAAAAATATAAATATACACAATCTAGTAACTGGATAGTTATACCATAAGTATATATAGATAATATTAGTTCAATAATAACTATGCTTGGAGTCCCTCCGGGGGCTACTGCCGGTCCCAAGCCTGGATAAAGGAGGAGGGTTGGGCATGGGATTAGTGTCCCCATCCCTTAGAAAACTAACTCACTAAAAAAACGCTAACCAGAAAAAATTATTCAAACCTTTTAAACTCTGCCCCGGGAGTCAGAAGGTCTTCATTTAGAAGAACTATGACGCCTCATGATGAAAGCCAAATTCCTTCGGAAGTTACGAAACCGATGCCCCTTCTGACAACCAGAGCGACCATTTATTTAGGTACATGGAATGTTCGTACAATGTGAGACACCGGGAGAGCCCTCCGAATTGCTGCAGAAATGAGGAGATACAACCTAGAGGTACTTGGGATCAGTGAAACACATCGGACGCAAGTTGGACAACAACGAATAACTTCAGAAAAGCTTTTGTTATACTTCGGCTATGAAGAAGAAAATGCCCCACATACACAAGGAGTTGCATTGATGCTGTCCAAACAAGCACAAAATGCACTTATAGGATGGGAATCTCATGGACCAAGGACCATCAAAGCCTCATTCAAAACAAAGAAAGAGTGCATTTCAATGAACATTATCCAATGCTATGCGCCCACCAACGATTACAATGAAGACGCTAAAGATCAATTCTGCAATAGGCTACAGTCAATCATCGAGAAGTGCCCAACTAAGGACCTGACCATTCTGATGGGAGACTTCAATGTCAAGGTTGGAACGGACAACACTGAATATGAAGACATCATGGGACGACAAGGACTGGGAGAAAGAAACAAAAATGGTGAGAGATTCGCAACCCTATGTGCCTTCAATAAACTGGTCATAAACGGTACCATATTCCCACATAAACGCATTCACAAAATCACATGCACTTCACCGGATCACACCACGCAAAACCTAATCGACCATATTTGCATCAACAAAACGTTCAGAAGGAAGATGGAACACGTGAGAACCAAGTGATGAGCTGATATAGCATCAGATCATCACTTGCTGGCCGACAAGATGAAGTTGAAACTCAAGAAACACTGGACAACGGGGCAGACAATATCACAAAAGTTCAATACGGCCTTTCTTCGGGATACTAACAAACTCAACAAATTCAAGATAGTCCTCAGCAACAAGTTCCAGGCCTTTCATGATCTACTGAATGGAGAAGGAACTACTATGGAGAGCAACTGGAAAGGGATCAAAGAGGCAATCACTTCAA